CCTTACTGCTAGAGTAATTGCCCTAAAACCAAAGTCAGATCTAGTCACTCCCTAATTCACAAATCCTAAATGGCTCCCAACACCTGCAGAATGAAGTATAAACACCTTTGTGAGGGATTTCAGGCTGTCACTGTCTGACCCCAGGCCATCATTCCAACCTCATATCATGTTACATCCCTCTGTGCACTCTGGGCGATACCCCAGCCAAATGGACGTCTCATCGTTCCTTAAATTCTATGTGTATTTCCCCGCCCCTGCCCTCACATCTCTGTTTTGGGCTACAATGACCTCTCTTGCCTTTCTGGTCTACCAAAATTTTTCTTATTCTTCACTGAAACTGCAGTCCACCAACTACCTCTGTCCCTGCTTACATCTTATTATTACTTTAATTCTGCCTTTGATTAGAATTCATTGTATAAACGTCTGTTCCTCCCTCCTTTGCCACTTTATTTTTGAGGACATGGACCATGTCTTACTAATTTTTGTTTTTCCCACAGCTCCTATTATATAGCCCTGATCACTAGAGTTGGACAGGTAATATTTGTTGGATAAAGGAATGGGGAGCTGACTTATGTCCTTACTTAAGCTAGCACTCCATCTAGCATTGGTGGAATAGGATTTGTGATAAATGCCTCACTGCTTAAACAAGAAGGAACTGTTTGGTTGGAAGAAACTCTTTGGGGGAGAAAGAGCCCTGGAGCAAGATTCAGAAGACCTGTGTTTGGATGCTGGCTGGGAAGGCAAGGGGGTTGTGGGCCGAGACTGTAAATGGTTCCCCACTCTCCGTTCTCCCCTTCTCTCTCCTGAATAGAACATTCAAGTTTTAGTTGAGCTCATGACTTTCCAGCGGAAGACCACTTGTTTAGTCATCCTTGAAATCAGGTATCAAAATTTTGGCCAAAGGAAAATGAGTGGAAGACATATGAGCAACATCAGATGTGTGCCTTTAAAAATGAAAGGAAGGCCCTTCCCTTCCTCTCTTCCTCTCTTTGTAGGAATGTAGGAATGTGGAGTCAGAGTGGAGTCGCAATGTATATTTGAGGGCAAGGATGAGGCAAACCTCCTAGGTTGTGATGGTGCCATTTGCTTCATCGGCAATTTCCCCCACCCCACTGTACTGCAGCCTCATCCTTCCTTAAGCCTTCATCTTGCTCAGCCTAAAAATCTTAGTTACTTTTGATTCCTCATTCTACCAAAGAAAGATACCCAGTCCATTAGCGAATCCCATTGGCTCTACTTTCCAATATATCCAGAATTCATTGACTTCTCACCACCTCTGCTGGGGCCAGCCACAGTTAGCTTTTCCCTGGATTACTACAATAGCTGTTTATGACCTCACAGCATGGATCCGACCCCCTCTTTCCACAACATCAGTTTCCATAGAGAAGCCAGAGTGATTCTTTTAACTTCTAAGTCAGATTAATCACCCCCTTCCCAACCTTCCCAATGCTTCCCACCCCAATCAGAGATGAAAAGTCCTAGCAATAGCCTATAAAGGCGTACATGATCTGGGCCTTTTACCTCTCTGCGTTTGTCTACTACTTCCTTGCCACTTCTCTTCTCCAGCTGCTTAGCAGCTCCTTGCTATTCCCCGTACACCTGGTGTACTCTGGTCTCAGGGCAGCGCCTTTGCATAGTTGTTCCTTCTGCCTGAATTGATCTTCCTTCATATAGCCACAGGGTTAACTTGCACAGCTGATGTTGTTTGTTTGAATGTTAGCCTCTTAACTAGGCTTACCCTGAAAAGTCTATTTAAAATTGCCACCCCTTGGGGAGACTGGCTGGCTCAGTTGGTTGGGCGACTGCCTTCGGCTCAGGTCATGATCCTGGAGTCCCGGGATCGAGTCCCGCATCGGGCTCCCTGCTCCGCGGAAAGCCTGCTTCTCCCTCTCCCGCTCCCCCTGCTTGTGTTCCCTCTCTTGCTGTGTCTCTCTCTGTCAAATAAATAAATAAAATCTTTTTAAAAAATTTAAAAAATAAATTAAGTTGCAACCCCACCTCCACCCCCATCCTCCTCGTTACCTGCTTGCTTTGTTCTTCTTAGCACTTACCACTTTCTAACATACCTTACAATTTATATTTTTGTCTATTGTCTATCCCCCCACACAAGAATATAAGCTGAATGTGGGCAACAATTTGTGTGTGTGTGTGTGTGTGTGTGTGTGTGTATATATATATATATATATACACATATTTTTTCACTAATGTATCTCCTGTGCCATGGTATAAAATAAGCACTCAATAAATATTTATTGAAGGAATAAAAATCACAAGGATTCTGGAGTCCCAGCACCATGGAGTTGTTATATCCCTGGACAGTTCTATGACACAGAAACAAATTTCTGCTTTTGTCAGGTTGGGTCTTTGTTATGGCAACTGACTTCTAACAAAGGTTAGGAGCTTGGGCTTTAGACTTGGAAGACTCCATGTAGCCCTATCACTCCCCGGCCTGCAACCCTCCTATGGCTGTCTATCACAATGAAAATAATTTCTGATTTTCCTTACCAGTCAACAAATCAAAACAGATCAATTTGATCTGGCCCCCGACTTCATCTTCCGCTTCTTCACGTACTATTCTCACTCATGTCTGTTTCTTCATTAGGGCCTTTGCCCCTACTGTTCCACCTGCCTGAAACACTCCCCCCCAGCCCCTGCCCCAGATCTGTATAGGACTGCCTCCTTGTCATTAGTCCAACGTCCACCATCCCAGAGAGGTCCTTCTTGGATGTCCAACCTACAAAGAGAGCCTTGCCATCCCTGTCCCAGGATCCTTCTCTACCCCTTCACCCTGCTTTTTATTCATGATAGTGCTTAATATAATTGCTCATTAAACTTCTCATTATTTGCCTGTCTACATTGAGAATTGGGAGTTTTATCCATGAGCTCCCGTCCACTGTTGGTTGAAGTTTGCATCCACGGGTGGTAATTCCTTGCTCACATCTGAGATGCCTCTAGGTCAAAATATCACGGGGACAGAAGACAAAGATATTTAGGTGCACCTTTGAGGTGAGACACTATCAGTGCCAAATGATGGAAACCCTCAGGGAGCAGCTCAACTTAGAGGCTGGCTGAGAGATTGTAAAGGGGCATTAGAGGCTCTGATAGATGTCATTCTCTCCCCATGCTCCCCCACAGATGTGTAAGCTTTGTGAGAAGGGGACTTTGTCCAGGACTCTTTTCTTAGTGGATTGGCCTTAGCAGGTATTCAGAAAATGTTAGCAAAATGAATTCATTAAATTCCATAGACTTTTCTTTGTCTTTTTCCTCACCTGTAAAAGGGCAATCATAATCCAGTTGATTTTGCAAGGTTGTTGTGAAAGTCAAACCTAGTAAAACATGGAAGATGCTTAGCACAGGACCACAGAAAATTAGAAAAGACCACAGAAAATTGTAAGGTGTTATGATTCACCTGTGTGATTTTGATCTAGAGAACACTTACTTCCTCTAGGCCTCAATTTTTAAATAATCATAGCTTAAATAATCATAGTTTTACCTTTCTCCAAGTCAGAATAAGAGCAAAATGTGATGATATGTATGAGTGACAGTATTGTATAGATATACATTGTGATTATCACTCACTCAACCTTTGGAGTTGCAGGGATTAGTCCCAGCTGGGCAGGCAGGCAGGCAGGCAAAAATCCCTGTCCTCATGAGGCTTCGACTCAAATGGGAGAAACAAACAATAAAATGAATATATACATTCCGAATCTTTGTGTCCTAGGCAATCACTTGACTTCTGGGCCTCAATATTTATAATTAGACTTGATGATCTGCCAAACCCTATGGCTCTGACTTTTTTAATACGAACTTAAGTGAAGAAGCTACCCAGAGAATGCAATTTGCATAAAGACTTTACAGAGGAGGGGGAGCAAGCTGAGTATTCTTGTTAAATTACATTGTTTACCAGTCAGGATACACTAAGCAATGCTGTGGCAGCAAACATCCCAGTGGCTCTAGACATTAAAGGTTTATTTCTTGCTCACACTACATATCTACTCTACTTTGTCAGGGAGCTGTTTGACATTGGCCTCATTCAGGGACAAAAGCTCTACTACTTGGAATGTCTTAAGTTACAGAGGTAGGGAATAAAGAGGGCTGGAGAGTCACACACTGGCAATAAATTGCTCCCGCCTGAAAGTGACATGTCACTTCTACCTGCATCTATTGACCAGTTATATGGTCTTGTTCAACTGCTAGGGGACAGGGAAGTATAATCTTCCCACATACTTGAAAGGGGAGGAAAATGCAGATGAACAATGGAAATTTCTACTACATTTAATAATCTGCTTTTTCCACATAAGATATCACAAAATTATTTATAAGATGGTCAACATTTAAAAAATCTTTTATTGGGGTTCCTGGGTGGCACAGTCAGTTAAACATCCGACTCTTGGTTTTGGCTCAGGTCATGATCTCAGGGTCCTGGGCTCGAGCCCCGTGTCAGGCTCCCTGCTCTGCTAGTCTCTCTCCCCCTGTCTCTGCCCTCCTCCAAATAAATAAAGAAATCTCTAAAAAAATTTTAAAAAATCTTTTATTATGGGAAATTTCAAATACACACAAAACAGGATAGGATAATGGACCCCCAGGTATCCATCACCCATCAGCACACCACTATTTTTAACCACTGAAAAAGTTTCCATTGTACAAAGGAGCTTCTTATTTATCTAAACTCTTGTGTTGGGTACTGCTAAATTTTGCCACTATAAATCATACTGCAATGAACAATCTTACTCATAAGTTGTCACTTATTTAATTATTTCCATATGACAAAATCCCTTTTGGTGACAACTTTCAGACCCATCTTTCTCCCTACCAACTGACTTCCTGGGTCACTGCTCATTCCCAAAGGAATGCAGAGTCCCAGGATAAAGGGAAGGACAAGGCAGCAGGTCCTGTCCAAACAAAAATGTTTTATAATTTTTAATAATACTCTAGACATATATATTCAAGGAAAATATGATTAATACATAATTTATCAGACTGAACTAAAATATGATTTGGTGCTCACTTTGGCAGCACATATACTAGAATTGGACCGACACAGAGAAGATTAGCACAGCCCCTGTGCAAGGCTGACATGCAAACTCAGGCAGTGTTCCATAGTTTAATAAATAAATAAACAAATAAATAAATAAGTGATTTGTGGTTGAAGAGTTTAACATCTCTTAAATGATTACTTATTGAGAAAAATTCTGAATTTCCTCCCAAAGTTTCCATCCCTAATACAAATCCCCTTCTTGGAGAGAGTACTTTGAGTCAGGGCCTTGCAGTTTGATAGAAAGACATGAATCCTGGTTTCAGGCACACACTATCTATAGGCTGTGTGACCTACGTCAAGTTATTTGACTTATTCCAAGCCTTTATTTTTTCCATTTGTAAACTGGCAATTCTAACTCACAGCTTTGTTGTGAAATGTAGGTAACATGGTGTTTATGAAAGCATCTATTACCAAGCCTGGTATATGATGGGCACACAATAAAAATTTCATTTTCTTTTTTATCCTTTTTTTCTCTTTTATTTTCGGGTTATACTCAAGGCATGAGTGTTGTAGTGATTTTGAACAACAGTTTTCATGTTATTGTTCTTAGTGAGCATGCCCTTCTTGAGAATATGTCCAGCAATCAATAACATTGTTTTGAAATTAGTATTTTTCCATGACACCAAAAAAAATTTTGGAAAATTCTTTCAGGTAAGTCCTTTCTTTGGAAAATTCCCATTCCCTCATTTGCAGCAACCAAGTGCTATTTACCCCAGGACCCAACACCTTTCAAATTGTTATTTTCAATGTTAATAAATGATTTCATTCATTTCCTGTTTTCCTCTGTTCACCAACCTGCCAGCCGCTGACCTTAAAATAAGTGTACTCGTAAACAACTGATTCAGATTATTAGTAGGATATCTGTAATTGTGTTACATGGTCCACCCAGTTGGAAATGAGCAGACATGGCTCCTAGCACCTGGCTGTGTGAATTGGTGGCCGGCTTAGGAAGGCCTGGAAAGAAGGGTATCATAAAACTTGAAAAGATGAGTTCAAGGTTGATGAGAATAGAAGGCTGTTTTGCTCTTGTCATATTCTCCAGAGTGGCTGGCACACGGCAAGCACAGAGTAGGAATTAATAAGTACATCTGGGTTGAGTGGATGCCAGGAAGGAGGCAAGTGTTATCCTTTTCTAGATTCAATTTTGCTCCAATTTTTTTTAAGACCCTTCCTATTTTTGGTAATTTTCACCATTTGGGGTTTCTTTTCTTCACCTGTCAAACTTCTCTTTGTATTTCTTACTCTACCTAGTGGCAAGGCTGGCCCTCCAAGAGTTCAGTAAATGTCTGTGGAATGAATAAAAGGTACAGAAGGTCTTCTGCAAAAGATACAAGAAGCTAAACTCTGAATGTTTTGAAAGAGAGAGATTGAGAGGGTGAGAGAGAAAGAATGCATGCCTTTGTGCATGGATATTTACATGTCTGATTTTAAAGTGCTCCTCTTCAAGGGGAGACACCAGATCACTTTTGCACTAAGATGTATACTCATTATTCATAGCTTTCTGATGCTGAAAGTTAATTAAGAAAACTCTATGCAGCATTCAAATCTGGTTTCTCAACAGTGATTTTGATGACTTGAGTTGTGTATTTTTTCATCCTTATTGCTTTCAGATATACATAAATCTTTTCTCTCCCCATTTTTCCCCATGTGCATGAAATGTGATACTTTTCAGTATTCTTGGGTTCTTTTGTAATCCAGACTTTTCACTTCCTCCACATCTGCTATGAAACTGAATATTGATTAATGTGACCCATAAACCTAACTGGTTAAATGGGGCCAATGACCAATTCCTATTCTTGGATTTTTTAGGAGTTTCTATCATTTTTTCCAATCTCTCTCTTAACTGTGCTTTTGTTGTTGTTGTTAATGAAAAGATTAAAGGAAAATTATATCAGCAGTAAAGTTCTCAAACACATCTGAGGCTTAAATTCCAAGCCTTTTGACCAATATTAACCCAGACTATCTTACTAAATTTAAGATAAAAATGTTTCTAACCTTTTCACTTTTGCCCTATAAAAATTACAGAGTAATGTGAAAACATATAACACCTATACATCTCCAGAAAGAAGTGCCCATTTCATTGAAAGTCTCACATATGACAAAGAATAATTAGCAATAAAATAGGATTATCACTCAGTGATTCCACAGGACAAAAATATAATTAAGGAGAAAAAAATTGTAACCCTCAAGGGTCTGATATTCTGACTTAGACTGGTAAAAAGATGCTACAAAGGATGGATGCCATGAAGACCGGGAGAGCAACTCAAGTCATACTATTACTTTTTCCCAAACAGAGTAAGATATACAGAGTCCTTGGTTACAAATTCCAAGGGGTGCTATTTACATAGAATACAATGAAACCCTCCATAGTTTGTACAACATGGAGACCTGAATGTATGCAAGCAAATTAGCAGAGGCTTCCTCTAAGTAGCCAGTCCCATAGAAAGTCTTAACCCCAAAATATTGCCTTGTTAAACTTTGGAATTACTTAAAGGTCTGTGTTACATTCTTTGGAATATCCTTAATAACTGCAAATAATCCTTCAATGGTGGACTTGACATTTGGAAATATTAAAAATCTTTAGGTACCAAATCTCATATAAATCATAGAACCTGACAAACGTTATTTTTTTCTTGGTTAAAAAAAAGAAAGAATTTTAAGGTACTTAGATTAATTTTTCCCTGTGACTGAAGTGACTCTGAACATTTTTCCCAAGGAGATAGAAGAAGATTTGGAGCAAAGGATGCCTCAATAGAATATGCATGTGGCCTCCTAATGACATAATTTTGAGGATAGAAATGTTAATTTGGTTATTTTATGTTTTTTCCAAGTCTTGTTTTGTTAATATCACGTGTAAAATCTAGTTTGAGTGTCCATATTGGTGCTTTGGTCTCCCCAGAGATGAAATGAGAAGAATATACTCTAAGGAGGCTGTTTCAGAGAATGTATACATTAAAAAAATTGCTCTGGAGATTTCAAATAATAATCCAGATGGAAAATACTTGTAAAAACCTTTGACTTGAGGCAAAAGTCTTGGTCCCCTACCCTGACCCCATTACAAATTTATCAACACTATATGAGACAATTCAATATAACCATTTCGCAGAAGGGATGACAAAAGGAAGCAATTAAGACTTAACATGATTCCTAAGAAAGTTGTATTTTGGGGCACCTGGGTGGCTCAGTCGGTTGGGCATCTGCCTTCAGCTCAGGTCGTGATCCTGGGGTCCTGGGATGGAGCCCCACGTCAGGCTCCCTGCCTAGCAGGGAGCCTGCTTCTCCCTCTCCTCCCCACTCATGTGCTCTCTCTCTCTCGCTATCTCTGTCTGAAATAAATAAAAAAAAACTTAAAAAAATGAAAGTTGTATTTTATACTTCACCTGTTGATTATAGATCAGCAATTCTGCACAAGATTTCCAATTGTAGACAAAATAATCAATCAACCAACCTCTTCCTTTTGATCGTTTTGGTTTCATAATGAACCCAAGGACTAATAAGGCTGAACATGTTAGACTTCCCCCAAAACCAGAATACCACCTCTGCCTTCAGAAGGAAAAACCACGAATTCAGGAAATAAAATCAGTCTTCGCATACAGCACAATTATTTCTACCAACTGAAAAGCCTCCCTACTTCTCATTTGCCTCTGTTGCAGGTAGAATCTTTTAAAGTTAGTCAGAACCCTGGGGGTGGAGTGGGTGGGGTACATGTGTCCGTCCTGTGTTGGCCTGTTATTGTGGTGCTCACAGGACCATGGGAGGCAGTGTTGAGTGATCCCTTTTATGTCTAGACAGATATTCATAATGAAATAGATGTCTGGCTCTTGAAGTCAACTTCTTAGACTGGAGGTATTTTGGTTTACAAAGGCCCAAATAAGAATGGATGACATTGTCTTGGGTGAAGCTATAGAGACTAGGAGGAAAAATGAGCAGGGGATGGGGAGAGGGTAAGGAGATCTCCTGCTGAAAGTTAAAATGACACCTATGGCAGAATAGTGACTGTAATAAGAATCTTGTGTGTTAAATCATATTGACCTGGAAAGCATTCTTCAAGTCCAACTTTCCCAGACAGCCAAATAACCTGCCTTGATCTTCTTAATGCCCCCAAATGATTGTGTTCTCCTAATGGCTTGTTTTCCTTTGGCTTCCTAGGACCCTTGATTTTAGCAGAAACTAGAGCAAGCCTCTGGGGGTTCACATTACACAGGTTCCATGACCATTTTATGAATTTCATCATAAGCAAAGCTAGTTGGACAAAGAATGGGGGTCTTACTTTTTGTTTTTCCACGTCCCCCCTTCCCAATTTTCCATACTGTGGAACAACATTTGAAAGGAATTTTTCATGACTAATCCATTTCCATCTGTTAATGAAAGGGCATCATCCATTGGTTGGCCAAATTTAATGTCTCTGCGTTATCTAGAAACGAGGATGAGATAGAATAAAACAAGTTAAAATAGAATGAGATGAGGAAATACTTTCTAAAAACTCCTTTTTTTCTGCTTTCCTCTCCCCTTTTAAGCATTACCATCATCTGCCTGCCAGGTGGAACTTATTTGGATAATAGAGCACAGATGTACCTTGTTGTACTCAACAGATGAATTCCTGAAAAGCTGCATTTGATAGAATTTTTATAAATTAAATCACATTTTCCTGTAGACTTGCATTATAGTAACAGAAGCCATTATCCACATTTGACTGATCTTCAATTGGCAGAGGCCTCACACTTGGGCTTCAGATTTCTTAGCCAAATCTCTTATGTCAAACAGTTAATGATCTGGAAATAATAAGCACTTATGTGAGCTAGGGGAGCACTATACTTAAAGGAAATGTGATTGTATTCCTCTGAAAGTAAAGAATCTTTATTTCATGATGTGAATTTTCACTCATGGAATCTTAGACTATCAGGAACATTACAGATGATGCAGTCCAAGCCTCTCTTTCTTGCAGAAGAGGAAACTGAGGCCCTGAGTGTTTACTCATCTGTGCCAGTGTGCAAAAATATATGAAGGAAAGAATAACAGTTTAAGTTTGGCATCCTTGAATTAAAATGTTCTCTTCCCAGGCTATTAGT